AGTGCCCTTAACTTGAGATGTTTCTGGATTTTATTATTATATATGGTCTTTGCGGGTAATTTTGGAGATTCAGCGATGTTTGCATCGTAGGATGCTTTCAAAATCCTTTCTAGTGGGTAAGCCCTCTTGACTTGCTCAATTTCAAATATAAATAATACCTATGCATCGCCAAATATATGGATTTGTAAAATTCATTACGTATCTTTCCTTCTACGGCTTATCTTTGCGAACAAATGTACTCAAATACAATAGTGCGTTATGGAATCTTTTTTTTATCTATCAGTTTCATCGAATCCAGTGGCCTTTTTCCCGTTGAATGGACAATACGAGACAACAGACGCCAGTCACAGCCACAACCCTTCAGGGAAAGCGTCGAATCTTGAATCAGCCTCATGGCCCGACGGTAACATAGGAGGTTCGTATCAGTTCTGGGGGAACTTAACCAGCTTCATACAATTCCCAAACCTCGGAGGACTGGACACGAGATACTCGATGACGCTTTTGGCTTGGATCTATCACGAACAGATAAAAGGTCCGATCTGAATCTACTTTTCACCTGGTTGCTATGTAAACTTCAATATACTTCAAACAGTTGAAAAAGATCTTTATCAAAAGAAGCACGTCCAGAAACAAAACGTCTGGACTTACAATTTCCTACATATATCTATTCATTATGTATATACAAAACTAGGTAACTACACAAATTCGAAAAGACATCTATTGAAAAAGCAACGTTTAAAGCGTTCGGTTCTGACTGGAGGCAGGATGTAATTATGTCATCTTTTCCTGAGGCTCCTAGCTCTCTGAGCTGGTAAAAGTTCATGTAATGGATTTGCGCTGTCAGAGGTTATCTCGTCCCAAAGAAACCTGTCTTTCATTCTAATTACATCCATTATGGGAGTGTATTTGCTAGTGTAGCCATAACGTAAAGCTCTCTTACAAAACTTGTCAATATGAGAGAGATATTTACTGTAGTGGGCAGAAGCCCACACCTCAATTGCGTAAATGAAAAGTGACATAATTAGACTGTCAAACAGCAGTGTAAGTTCTTGTAGTGAGAAGCCGTAGTATTTGCAGACTCTGAGGATGTACAGTCTAGAACTTGCTTTGCTAAGCATGTTTTCAAATTGAACGCCCCAGTTACATGGATCTTCGTTTACAGTAACTCCAATTAATAGTTTACAGGATTTCTGGTCATTATTTTTAATTGAGATTACAAGTCATGCAAGTTCTTCACGTGTTCTTGGTTAAGTATTACTAGTTTATACTGTCACCTACCCATGTGAAAAACGTTCCACTTGCAGTTTAGACTTACCATCAGTACATTGGAATGACGAATTTGTATCAAAATGGACCGTGAGAGCCTTTTTTATGACAAAACTTAACTCCTAATGATACAATCAGAAAATCAAGTTAACCAGAAACTTAGGAATGGCTCCCCTGCATTTGTTCATATCGCCTTAGCCGTTTTTAGCATATTGTGACTATCCTATAATTCATATGGATGGCTCAAACGGACAGCACCGATAAACTTGTTTTCCTCCTGACAATAGTAGTCTTCCCGAAAGTTTGGGCGGCCAGGGATTGTTCGCCCTGCTTGCCATTAAACAGTTCTGATCGCTTGAGAAGTATTTGGAATGATCGGGGCGATACGAACGACCAGGTCAATTGACCAGGCTACAACGGCACATGCGCTTGCATTGCACTTTTAAAACCCGCCCTTGTTAAATAACGTGCTAAGAGCACAATCACTAAAAGCTAAAGAAATAAAATTTACAAAAACTTCAATCACTTCTAAATTGGGATTGAAGAAATGTTTCGAGTTTAAGGGAACACCATGATATTTCTTGGTCTATCAGCTTCATAGTAGTGGCTGTATCCTATTTTCGTCTTCAACCGGTCAGCTGACTTTTGGGCATGCCCTGTTGCATTGTTC